GCTGATTTTTGAATCAGTGCACTTTTGTTTAACTGTCACAGAATTTTCCTGACTAATTCATCAGTATAAATGTTTTGACAATATATTTTTGAAGCTCAAGATTAAAACCCATTATTTAATCTCTACTTAAAGATACCAAAAAGCAACACTAAATAGGTTTCCAGAAGGAGCTTGATTGTCACATAAATTACAAGTGGCTTATCAAAATTTGAAACATAATTCATAATCAGCAAGTCATAATGATAAATCTAAGCCGAGAACTATGATTTTTTTTAATTCTGCAGGTTTAGCATTGTTATTTATCAAGTACATTTCGATTTATTACTTTTCAACAGACCACATAATTTGTGATATGTTGTAATTTGAGTTTTAAAACCTATAGGAGATATTTGCTCTCTTGCATGTCAATTATATATTCATTAATAAAAATTAATTTTCACTATCATCTGAATTTGCACTCTATAAATATTTAGCAATTTTATTTAATACAACTGCATTCCAATCTCTGAATATTGAATTACCATACAATTTGTGTTTGTGTACCCCAAAGTGCCAAACATTCCAGCAGAAAATAAAATTTAAAATAATATCTGGTTAAATGTTTGTTCCATTTCTCTTTCATGTTTGTAATACTAGAAGTTAGGCTGCATCTAACTGTAGAATTAATGTAGTTTGATACCACTTTAATTGCCATGACTCAGTGCTGTAGATCCTGTCAGATGGCTAAAATCTGGTGGAAAGCAAGAGTCATAGCCATTTTGAAACCAGACAAAGACCATAATGATCCAAAAAGCTAAAGACCAATCTCCTTGTTGTGCCATCTTTATAAAGTTCTGGAGAAACTTGTCCTGCACAGAATTATGGAACAAATAGACTCATTTATGATCCCACAGCAGGAATCAAAAATGGTTTCAGGAAAGGGAAAACAGTACATCACAACTTCTGAACCTGACTCAGCACATAGAAGAGGGTTTTGAAAGACAGCAGATTACAGGAGCTGCCTTCATGGATATGTCAGCAGCTTATGATACTGTGAATCATCATCTCCTGAAAAAAATGTATATCACAAAGGATTGCCACCACACCTGCTTCATGGGAAATCTGCTACAAAACAGGAGCTTTTTTGTTGAGTTCCAGCATCAGATAAGCAAATGGCGAAAAGAGAAAAACAGCCTGCCTCGGGAGCGTGCTTGCTCCATCAATGTAAAACAACAACTCTCAGGATTTCGTAGCATTGAGCCATGGCAGTTAAAGTGAAATCAAACTTTGTTAATTCTAAGATCACTAGGGGAAAAAAATCACATTTCAATGAATTAACTTAGTCAAGGAAGTGATGGCCCTCGTGTCTGCAAAACCTGACTGGATTTGTTGAAAGTTTGTCATCGACAGGGTAACCTTAAGTCAAAGCAACCTGAAGGCACACAAGAACAGCAACAGTACACTTCAATTCCAATTATCTCCAACAACCTTTCTCTTTCCCTGTGTTCTACATTTTCAGATACCATCACCTTATTACATCTTAAAAGCTTCTTTGATTTGACATCTTTCCCTAATATAAATCATATTTTTGTAATCTGTTTTAATTTTTAGGACATCAAATACCCATGGAAATCTTGTGTCAAGTAAAACTGTAGAACCAATTATCCCTTTCTTTGCTCTTTCCATATTAGCTCGGTTAAAGTAAACAGTCGAGGTCCATACAGACTCTAAAGCACTGGTTCTCAGCCTGTGGGTCCCCAGATGTTTTGGCCTTCAACTCCCAGAAATCCTAACAGCTGGTAAACTGGCTGGGATTTCTGGGAGAATTGTAGGCCAAACACCTGGGGGTGCACAGGTTGAGAACCACTGCTCTAAAGGGTTGGGGAATAAACACACTAGTAGTGAATTTAAATGTAACCTGACGAGATTTCCAGAAAGCTGCTGCACAAATTTGTAATCCTATTTATATCTCATGAAGATTTCCAAGAGAGGCAGTTTGTCACCTTTTCTGGAAAGAAGAGAGTGGGCTTGTGGAACAGGTGGGTGGATCCTCAGCCACAGATGATGACTGCCCCACCTTTAACCAGCACAGTACATAAAATATTTATTCATAGCAATCACAACACAGTCTTGCACATGTCTACTGTATACAGTAAAAATTACACCCTACTAAGTGTGTTTAGATCTGGTGTCTGGGTTACTTCTCTTCTCAAAATGCAATATTATAATAAAAATAAATATTATAAAACATGTTTTATGAAGTGCTCTTTTTACATGTTTTACAAACATTTTTTCACTTGCTTTAATTCTAACTGAGCTTAAATTATAAAGTTCTTCTCTTTAAGCTTTTGATAGATGCATATCATAGGTTTCTCTTGTCTTCCTTATCAAACTTAATCACTTATCTAGGTATATGCCTCCTTGAAATCTGCAGAAGGTAGTTCTGATGAGAGGTGTATACAATTTCTTCATAAAACAGTTAAGAAGAGATACATTTAAATTGCTGAACTGTTCTGTTTCCTTATCTAAATAGATGTTCAAATTCTAATATGAAGTAGCAGTTGGTTTGGTTTAATTATATAGCAGTTGATTTGGTTTAATTATATGTAAGTCAAAACAGACTCTGCACCATTGTCCCTTGAAGTTACATAGAGTACAACTTCATACAACTATCCTACCAACTATGCTATCAGCTTTCTCATAGCTAGATAAAACACACTTAGCACAGCTTGTTCATTCATATTGTAATCACTCTAATATCTTACTCATCTCTCACAGTCTGTATTGGAATTAATGAAACCTGAATCAAAAACTGTTTTCAGGATTTTTAGTGCAAAAGGCATGTACTGCTTATACTATCAATCTTAGACAATTTCCTTTTCTATTAAGTATACTCAAATAATTTATTTGTAAAATATTTACAAGCAGTTCCCAGGTTACAGACAAAGTTCTGTATGTTTGTTCTTAAGTTGAATCTGTATGTAAATTGAAACAGGCACATTTTTAAAGTGTAACTCCAGTCAAAGGTGTATATTTTTTAGTTTGGGAAAGCACAGGGAAGGATTAGCGTCCCTGTGATATTTCTTTGCTGTCTGTACCCCTGTTTAGAAGCTTTGTTGTACAAACAAGGATTTGTGAAAAGCTTCAGTGGAAACATCTTTTTTTCCCATGACAACTCTTCCAGGGATCAATTTTCCTTCATAGGGGTGGATTTCCTCTCATTTTCTGTTGTCTCACCCCGTTCTTAACTACGAGTTGGATGTATCCAGGGTTTTTCCTTTCAGAACCTACATAGTCTTGGGAAAGGGAAAGTAATATTGCAAGGCAATGGTGGCAAAGACTTGCATTGTCTGGGATAACTTCATAAAAATTACCCAACTCCTCTGGTTTTACACAGTTTATGTATTATTTGGATTAATATAATCGAGATAGAGAAACCGAGATTGAGCTAGTAATGAAGCTGGGAAAACCCAGAACCTACAATCAAAGAAAATATGCCATAACATTTCAGTTTCATCCAATGGAAATTTGGATTTTACCTTTTTCATTGATAGTAAATGTCTTTGTCATGTCTCACTTCTAGATAGATGGCTTTCAAAATTCAGAGGCCTTTCCATACTTATTTGAATTTTTACATGGTGAAAAGACAACATGACATAGTATGTGTATGTACGTTTAAGTCGCCCATCAACTTCCGGTGATGCCATGTTTTTTATAGAGATTTCATAGGCTTATGTATTTTTTATTGCGGTAATACTGAAATTAGAGTCCATCTTACAATTGAAGAAATACAGTAGTTGTGAAAACTTTAATCTTCACTGTGTCTGTCTGAAATCATGAAGCAAAATATTATTATTTTGCCAGCACTAAAAAAAACTGACAAAGATTTCCAAATAACTGCTACAACATGCTCTAACATAAATAAATGAATACAATTGAAATCTAAAATCACCTTTGAATTCATGTCTCCTAGACAATTCCATTCTGAAATGGAGACTGAACTGTTATTAATTTAGTATTTTTAAAAATGTTGTGTATACTCCATGCGTTTTCAGTAAATGTGTTTTTGGTATTTTTGTGTGTGTCAGCTTTTTCAAACTTTCCTTGCTTGCATTTCTTGTCATGTGATTAAATCTGAAATGTCAACATTGCTGACATTCAAACAGTTCTTTACTGTGAAGCATCCTATCTCCAATCATCTTGTATAAAAATAATACTTTCCAAGCGTGATTGTACAATTTATATACTGATCTTAAAGTTCAAGGAAAGGGGCTTGACCATATTATTTAAAACTAGTTGCCTTTGGGAATTTGTAGCATCTTGCTTAAAATTTGAACTTAAAAAAATTGCTTCAGCTTTTGAAAGTATTTTGCTAATCTTTCGTGCTATTCTTAACTAAAGCACAGTTAAGTGAAATAGAACTTTTGACACTTAAGCCTTTCCCAGATTTTGATTATTAGCTGTATAGTAGGAAAAAGATCAGGAACTGCTGAAATGTACACATACTTGAACTGTACTCATTTATTTGGAATTTTCTGCTGCTTTTGTGGGCACAGTGTATAGTGTGAAGGTAGGAAGCAGATAAAATCCAGGACTTGAATTTAGTCAGGTTGTAAATTAGTCCAGACCTCTCTGGCAGGAATAATAGTATTAAGAAAATCTTTTCAACAATTGTCATTGAGTACTTCAAAGCACACAACAACTGTGACAGTAATAAACATTTCTTAAGATATGCCATCCTTGCTTTGCTTTCACTTTGTGTTGAAACTTAAACCAATTTCTTTTCTTCAATTTCAGCAAAGAAACGTATAAATAATGAAACAATTACAACATGGCCTTGTTTTGCTGCTGGAAACTTACAGATAAACGCAGCCTTTTGTGTTTTCATAATAAAAATCAAGACACAAATTGTGTTCACTAAATTTTCCTATTTTATTTTTCTTTACAGTTTTAAATGTTTCCCAATATTTTGACCATTGTTTGATAGCTTTTCACCTTTTCATCCTACTCACACGTTTTAGGAATTGATACCACTCATATTGTGTACAGCTTGCCTCCATCCTGAACCCAAAGAAAGAGATCAGCTATTACATATACTATTCAACTTGATCAAAAGACCAGATGATGAGCAAAGGTGTGTAACTATATATTATATTATGCTTTTAATAATTAGTTTGACTCTTTGTACTTATGTTTATTTAGTTTAACCCTTGTTTTGGTTGTTTATATGTTATATTGAGTTTATTTTATCCCATGTTTTCCTTGCTTTGACTACTGTTTATATGTTATCTGTTTTAGGGCATTGAATGTTTGTCATTTTTATTATTTTGTAAACCGCCCTGAATCCCTTTGGGGAGAGAGGACGGATTATAAATAAAGTTTATTATTATTATTATTATTATTATTATTATTATTATTATTATTATTATTAAATGATGTAGATTATGTTTTCTTTCTCTCCCTTTCAATTCATAGAGATATTTGTTTTCCAGTTGTTTTCTTTTTGTCCATGTCTACTCCAGTAAGAACAATATAGCTCTGCAAATCACCAGTAATTATTCCCATTTTTTGTTCATTCTCTTTAACCATATATTGTAGGAGTGGTGCTAAAAAGAGAGTAGCCATAGAGAGCAACTAGCAATGGTTGCATCATATTTTCTATTTTAGATTAAAATTATACATGACGATGGTGGAGATGAAACTGTTGTCGAGAGAGCATGTGACTGTTGCTAGTAGGCAGCAACAATAGTGGTAGATATCCTTCTGAATTATGGAGGATGTTCTTACCGCGCCTGAGTATACTGCCATTTTTTCATTTTCCAGTCTTCCTGTTTTCTTCATAATTGAAAGCTAGTGTGCATTTATTTGTGCTTCCCCATCTCCAATTTTCTCCCGCACATCCCAGGCCTTTTCTAAGGGTACTGTGGTATCAAGGGAGGCTTTTCAATTGCTTGAAGGATTTCAGTGAAAAAGATGGGCAGGAAAGCCCACCTGTGTGAACAGGCTTCTATTTGCATATCTTCTACAATCAGTCTTGTATATTTGAATTAAGACCTAGATTCCTCTATAAAAATGTGTTTTAAAAAAGAATGTTCTAATCATGACTTATTTATTGAGTTGTTTTTGATGTGATTTTTGATATACACTGTTGACATTGAATGTTTGCCATTGTGTATTTTGTTGTAAGCCATCCTCAGTCCCCTCAGGGAGATAAGGTGGGGTATAAATAAAGTTTCATTCATTCATTCATTGGACCAGCAAACTGGCCTCAGGAATTCAGCTATTAATATTCCATTATCTCCTCATTCTACAGTGATATCTAAACTGAAAGATCTCAGACCTAAAATGTTATATTTAACATTGGTTTCAAGCTGACAAATACTTGTATATTTCTTTTTTAAGAGGACTAGATCTATGTTGTATGTTGTGTTTGCACTGTCTGTTTTGATAAGGCCAACTAGCTAATCAATAAAATCATTCGTATATTTAATAGTTCAAATATGCAGGAATTTTCTGACAAAGCTGAAGAAGTTAGCAATATAAACCAAAGTTTGTGCCTTTCTCTAGTGCAGAGCTTTCCAAAGTATGTGTTGTGACACATTAGTATGTCAGTGGCAGTTGTGTAAAGCATGAGAAACCTCTAAATATGTTGTGTCCTCTACATTTTGTTACTACAATTTGTGTGTGTGTCCGTATCTCTTATAAGAGGTTGGTTTAACCCCCGGTTTGCCAGTAAAATGGAATCCTGTGTCACAAAATGGTCAATGTTTAAAAAGTATGCCATCAACATGAAATATTTGGAAAGCTCTGCTGTAGAGCTTATAGCTACCAACAACACAATAATATAGTTTTTTTTAAAAGAGTAAGGACGTCAGTGTACAGTGTGAGCCTAAAGGTTTTAAACAAAATCTAATGCCATGTATGTTATACAGTAGATAACTGCATTTCAGTATGAAGAAATATCCTTTATAAAAGAAATTATCATGTCTGAAATATCGTGTTTCATATTTGGATTGGCAGTAAACTTTAGCAGTATCTCTCTGATGCCATTTACAGAATGGTATTTTCTGTCTCTTATCAGGTGTTGGTTGCATAAGCATGCCCCCTTCTAATATATTACATGCATTGTTTTGTTCTCAATTTTGTTTTTAGGCAGATGATTCTTACTGGGTGTGTAGCATTTGCTCGACATGTTGGACCAACACGTGTAGAAGCAGAACTCTTACCGCAATGTTGGGAGCAGGTAATAGCATCCAGCCTTTTGGGGGGTGGGGTTTGAGGGGTTTTTGTTTGTTCATTTTTTGCTGATTATTGACTTCGAAGTAATGTGTTACAAGTACCAGCAGTACAATCAACACAAACATATTACTTAATAGTTCTTTGTTATGATGGTTAGGGATATATTAAATCTGCTAGGACTCATTAAGTCAAATAGTGGCCAGCACTAATAATTATAGGCTTGCAAGAATATTCTGAAAATATTTAACATCATTGTGTGTTGGCTAACATTCAATGCTAGGTCTTTGACACAGCCCTTGTCTGAAAACAGTTGTTTTCTTAATGTAACTGTGAGTGGAAGACTGTGGCAAAATAGTAACTTCTTGGTCTGTTTTTCTTAATATAGGATTTACTATTGATCAATTGGGAAATACAGAGAAATGCATGAAAAAATTAACAAAAAAGTAAAAGAAGTAACTGCTATTTTTTAAAGATTTTTCTTTTCCATAGATCAATCACAAATATCCAGAGAGACGACTGTTAGTAGCAGAATCCTGTGGAGCATTAGCACCTTATTTACCTGTAAGTGTACATTGTTTGCAGTCATTACTCTCTATTTATGACTTTCAGGTGATTTTTTAAATGGCCAGGATCCAAAGAATAAGTTAGCTCCACAGAAACATCTTTGTACCAGTGGATTTACTTGATCATTTTTGTGATGTGCCATTGGAGACAATTATTCTAGAACAAAGTCTTAAAACACTTTGAACTACTACACAAATAGATTTTACAAAAACAAATCCTGACCAATTAATTCATCGATATCTCTTTTTTAATATTGAAATAGAAGACAATATTATAACCATGTTTAAAGAATTCAGTAAATAACTAATCCAGTATGGGGATTTTTTCAATTTTCCCGTCACATATGTGACGTTTGTTTCCAAAAGGTAACAAATTCAAAAAAAATAGGGAAATGAGTTATAGGTGGCAGGATGCTGGGAGTAGAATATTATGCACAGATCCAAACTATCAAAATGCATCAAATCATTTCGATACAAGACTTGGAATATTGCATTTCATAGCAAAAGAATGCATATATTCAGTACATTTTTTGATTCCCATAGAATTTCTTCCAAATGGATTTGGTGTTGGAATTCACCCCCACACTGCCCAAGTCTCAAGTCCTTAATGAGGAACAATTTAGTTAGCTTAGAATAGTCTGAGGGTTTCCTTCCCCCATGTGTCCTGTATGGCAGTTGGAATGTATTTATTTTGTTCTTCCTTCTCTGTTTCTGCTCTCATTCTGATTTGTTGTGTAGAATGGATACTTTTCTACTGCAAGCCTTTTTTAAATCTGACTTCTGTTTCTTGCATCTTAGTATGTGCTGTGTGCCTTTGAGATCTCTCTCTGCTTGTTTGTCAGGAGCGATGTAGTGATTGGTGTCTTTTCCCTCTCTTGAAACCTTAGAAGAGATGGCTGTTAGAGTAGCTCAAACCCAGTTCTTCACTATTAAGAAATGCAGTTATTGTTTATTATTGTAAATAAACCTTTTGTGATTTTAAAGATTGGACTCTGCATCTTTGTCTGCCTAAGTTCTTAATTCTTTACAGCCACATCCATCACACAGCATTTCACACTCTGCTCGCTAATGAGCTGATGTGCAACTTTTACGTCCTGTTTGTTTTTGGAGGCTCTGCTATATTTTAGGGTAGTTTTCCCTAACATTTGGTACCATTTGGAAACAAACATATACTTTATTGTAAAAACCAGTATCTTCTTACAGAAAAGGAACTCTGTAAACAGCTAAAAAGCTAACATCGTGCAACATTTATCTGCATGTATCACCAGTATTTTTAAAAAAATCAGTAATGGTGGAACCATTTCTTGGAGCAGTAAAGACATGAATTGCATTTCAAAAAAAAAGGAAAGAAAGAAAGAAAGAAAGAAAGAAAGAAAGAAAGCATCCAAACAAACACTTTTCAGAATATCCATAATCTAAATCAATAGTGTTGGACAGCACTTCAGTTACTTGTATATATATTTTAATCTCTGGGCCTAAAGCAGTTTACTTTTGTTCATTAATAAATTGATGTATAACTTTTTGGTCAGCTGGAACTCCCGCCTTACATATTCCTTTAAGGTTCATATCAATGTGTGCATCATTAATGTGTGCATCATTAATGCTTCCAGTTCTAAATAATTTAAAAACGTCAACTATTGATGTTCTCTTTCTCTTTCAGAAAGAGATTCGTAGTTCGTTGGTACTTTCCATGCTACAACAGATGCTTATGGAAGACAAGGCAGATTTGGTACGAGAAGCTGTGATCAAAAGCCTTGGTATCATCATGGGATATATTGATGATCCAGACAAGTATCAACAGGTATTGTAGAGGATCATACATGTGATCAATGTTAGGCCATGTGACTTTGAATGAACTAAGGATAGCTTGACAACTTTTCAATAAAAGCTGTAGGAAGAAGGATTGGGAAAGTGAATATTCTCTGAGATAAGTTAGGTGTCTTAACTAATAGAAAATACATAAGATAGTGAACAGAGCATGTTTTTTCTATTATAGTTGTCTTCTGTTTTAATAAATGTCATGGGTGCCCATCCAAATGTGTAACAAATTGTCTAGTTTTTATAGTTCAGCCAAGTTTGGTCGTGCTGACTTAATTTTTAAAAATATGTTAACTTGCTTGTCTTGCTGACATCCTGAAGCTTAGTGAATGGCTGTATATTAACCATTAAAAAGTTTGTTTTCTTTAAAGCAAGAGAAAGTCCAAACCAAGATATTCCTAGTGACTCTTATTCTTTCATGTCATCACAAAGAGTTCAATTTCTACCATAGAAAAAGTAATAACTTACATTACTTGAAAGTTATCTTGAGTTTCTAAACATCAGGGTTTTTTTTTTCCTATTCCTTCTTTTCCTCCATTCAAAAACAGCTCTGCAGATCATACTGCCCTTTATCGCCAAAACATTATAGCAAAATATGAAGTCTCTTCTAATGTAGTTTCTTGACCCTTTGCTTTTCCGAGCACCAGATTTTATGGCAGATACTGTTTCATTAGATTCACACCAATTTTTCTTATAGTGGAGTGGAGGTCCTAGAATACTTAACCTAAGTAAATAGTTCACTCTGAAACGGTCCCTTTTTGTATCACCAGGGTTTTGAGCTACTACTTTCAGCTTTGGGTGATCCTTCAGAACGAGTTGTTAGTGCAACTCATCAGGTGTTTTTACCTGCCTATGCTGCCTGGACTACAGAACTGGGAAATCTGCAATTACATCTTATACCTACATTGCTTAGTAAAATTGAAAAACTACTCAGGGTGAGTATCTCAAAGTATACAGGTTTTAGTGTATTTGGGATAAACAAGGACACTTTGCTTGTAAATGAGGTTATTGTATTGATTTTTTTTTTTTTGTAACATGAGAATTGTTAACATGCAGAGCAATTATCTTGGACTTGCGTTTCATATCATACGATATATCTTGGGCCTGCATATCAGAGTTCTCACATAGGGCAACTGCCATTCCTTTTTCTTTTTCTGTCATATATAAATTAGAGTATAATCCTGAGGGCAGAGAATTCTCGAGTTAACAGTGGTAAATCTTCTGTGTAAGTGCCATGTACACTGATGTTGCTATATAAATTGTAGATGATGACAATAACAACCATAACAATAATGTAAACAATTGCATATGTCACTGCTCATAATATATACTGTATATACTCAAGGATAAGCTGGGTTTTTCAGCCTTTTTTTAGGCTGAAAAAGCTCCCCTCAGCTTATACTTGATTCAGTGTTACTTATTATTTTACTATTATTTTACTTATTATTTTATTATTATTGTTACATTTATTATTTTACTCTTTTTATTATTATTGGAAAGATACGTAAACACATTTATGTTGAAGAAGGTTAGAATAATGGACAGTCTTAAATTACAATTTGATGTCAATATTCAAAAACATTTAACCTACTAATGCCTCAATTAATGTAATTTATTGGTGTCTATTTTTATTTTGAAATTTACCAGTAGCCTCTGCATTTCCCACCCTCAGCTTATACCTGAGTCAATATGTTTCCCCAGTTCTATGTGGTATAATTAGTTTATATTCAAGTCGGCTTATATATAGCATTTATCTTAAGTAGTTACGTTGCCATACAGTCACTTCTGCGCCCTAACTACAATGTTACTTCATACTGATGGAAGTATTTTAGAAACCTAAGATACTGTACAACATTAAAAAAAGAATTCTGAAAGCTTCTAAATTAAATTAGACCATGATCATTTGGTTGCTGTCAAATGAACATTGTTTTTTGTTACTTGTATAGAAAATATGGAATCATTCTAATTTAGCCTCAATGCACTGGCATTTTACAACTGTGGGGAGGTTTTTATCCATCATAATATAGAACTTGTCGGACAGAAAAGGATGTACATACATGGCATATTTCTGAGTCATCTTTTGTTTCAAGTTCTTATAATTTAAATAACAGTCGGATAGTGTCTCCTTCAGTATTAAATAAGAAACTTTGATAACTTATAAACTTTATTGTGTTTTAAAATTAGAAGCTAGTTGTAGAACCGGGGGGTGGGGGTGATACTATAAAATTAATGGAAGTACCAGTGGACACAAGCCTTGCAGCAACCTTGCTAAAGCTGAAGAGTTTGAGCCTTGATAGTGTCTGAATGGGAGGCTGCCTCAGAATCCTTGTGATTCATATTCAACTACTGGGTGGCATATGTTCTGTATCAGAAACTAGAGCTGATGTGGTCTATCCAATGCAGTTTTCTGAATCAGCATCCCAAATAACTAAACCAAATCTAAAGTTGACCAAAAACTGGTTCATAAGTCTTTTGGTACTAGTGTTGGAGAGCAGTCCCTGGTCAAAGTGGTCTCTGGTCAAAAAAAGGTTGAAAACCACTGGTAAAGAGAGACATATATATATTGAATAGACATATATGTTGATAAAGAAGGATCAAAATTTTGGCTTGATTTTGTATTTGTCTTTCAGGAAGGTGAACATGGACTAGATGAACACAAGCTGCATATGTATCTTTCTGCTCTGCAGTCCTTGATTCCTTCACTTTTTGCACTGGTGCTGCAAGATGCACCATTCACAAACAAAGCAAAACTACAGGGTGAAGTCCCACCAATTGAAGGTATCTACTTCTTTATTGTCTATGAAGCTTTATTTAAAAGTGTAGATATTATTCAGATATATTTTTAAAAAGATTAAATAGAGACAGTGTGCAGTTAAAGACAATTCACCTTTTTTGCTTTCTGTGTAGTATGGCAACTACTAGTGTAAGCATTCTTTTTGAAATTTATTCTCAGCATTACCACCATTCTAAACCTTAGCTGTATTTACTATTAATTGAGTTGTATCAGCTGAGATATGTGTTTGCTGCTCATACAGCAAACAGACTAGCTTTTCTGGTTACTTTTTAGGTGAAAGTTCTTACAGGAACTTAGATAGATGGTTTCTCTTTTTAAACTGTATTGGATTAGACCAAGATGAGGGATATTGGTTTTGATCATGGTTGTTGCTGTGTGCTGCTAGTGACGAGATTTCCAAGGCCTGTATCACCTCTTCAAGATGTGGCCACGATAATTGGAAGCCGTGAGCAGCTGGCTGTCTTGCTGCATCTGTATGATTACCAGTTGGAGCATGAGGGGACCACAGGCTGGGATACCCTGTTATGGGTCGTCAATCAACTGTGAGTTGTCTTTTTTTGGTTTTTCCACTTGATAAATGTCTTAAAGGGAAGGGGCTAACTTTTTATCCCTCCCACAATAGCTATTTACAATACAGGTTAAACCTTCCTAACTAGGGAAGAAAATAGAGGAGATCGCTGTGGTGGCACAACAGAACTAACTTACGAGTTTTTTGAGATATCGCTCAGCTGACTTTTTGCTTTGACACACAAGCCAAGATTTGAGTTATGAGCTGCCGCGAAAATACGCCTCCCGCCATCTTAAGCAAGGCTTTAAGGGAGCAGCCAGGAAATCTCCTTGCGCTTGTCCTTGCTGTTATTTATACAATCCCAGGGTTTGGGGAGATTGTAAGAAAGCTAAAGGGCCTGTCATCAATTAAACTTCTATCCTTATTAAAATAGGCAGGTTATACAGGTATCTGTCAGTCTAATTTATCATTTCCTCACTCATTTTAGAAACATTTTGAAAGGGAGGATGAAACAAACCTCCATGGACAGGTTTTTATTAAAATGCTCTGCAAGTGAAAGCAAGGAAAGTGTGGTGAAAAAGGCAAATGTCAGTGAAGAAGAAGATTAAATGAAATCTTGAAGGAAAATACATACTCTACACTTAATAAATTCAGTATATTTCTTTACGTAACTCTTTTATTATGTATTATTCTTTTTTATACATTATTAGTTGTTTATAAAGTACATTTTTTCGTATTTAAAAACTCATGACAAAATGTGGTATGGTTTTTTGGGGGGGTTGAACAGATTAATGGCATTATAATTCATTTCAATTGAAAAAAACATTTGGCATAAGAGCAATTTGAGTTAAGAGCTCAGTCACAGAACAAATTAAACTCATAAGTCACGGTATCACTGTATATGTATCCTGTTATCCAAAGTAAGGTATTGTGCCGGATGACCCAAAATAAAATATTAGAGCATTCAGGAAAATGACTAAATTAAGAGTGACTTACCTTTAATTCAAAATTTGATTTTTCAGGTTGCCACAGCTCATAGAAATAGTTAGCAAAATCAATGTAGCTTCAACAGCCTGCGTACATGAATTCTCAAGGTTTTTCTGGAGACTTTGCAGAACATTTGGAAAAATTTTCACAAATACAAAGGTAAAACTGTTTATGTATGTAAATAGGATAGTCAAATATTTTTGTGGCTCTGCCACTCCAGGCATTGGAAGGCTAGGATCAAAATGTACAAACAGTTTTGTGTGGGTATTTTTAGGAATAAAACTAGCATAGATCAACTAAACTGAAATGTATCATAGTTGTATGTTTTTAAACTGATTTATCTTTATGCTGCTATTTTACTTATTTTAGGGGGCTCCAACTCTAATACATATTAGTTGAAGCTGAGTCATCAACTGTTTCGACTAGTGCTGTCCTTCATAGTTTAGTAAGGCACATAATGAATGGTTCATTCCTTTAGATAAGAATAGAGGCAATAGGGATTTCTCCCATCATATTCATCTGCAAAAAGGAAAGAACCCCGGCCTTTCTGTCTAGCTTGATAAATGGAGTGCTTACCCATAGTTTCAATGAACCGTATTTCAAGTCTAGACCAAGAGTGGTTTGTGGCCAACCACAAGTTTTAAAAGTTCTCAAAGTCCCGTAATCTCACATGTAACTAACTGTTAGCTTTTTTATTAGGTACAGATTTTTTTCCCCATGACCTGAAATTTGGAGTTCTGAAATAGAGACTAGAGACTAATTTGCAGTTTGGGAGTGGGAGTCCTCCTGGACTCATCGCTGAACCTGGAACCCCAGATGTGCCAACTGCGCCCGTACTTTGGGAAGTCTGACTTGGCCATGGTAGTCCACGCTCTTGTTACATCCTGTTTAAACTACCCAGTTCGTAGATTAAGTTCTTCCGGGGAGGTCCTGCTCTCGGCCCCACCGGCCTCACAGGTGCGACTGGTGGGGACGAGGGGTGTTGGCCCCATGGCTGTGGAACTCCCTCCCAAGTGAGATCAGGTTGGCCCCCTCCCTCCTTACCTTTATGAGACAACTAAAGACCTGGCTGTGGAACCAAGTGTTTGGTCCATCATAGAAATATTTAAAGTGAAAATTGAAAGTGCAATGACCCAGGACTTTTACGGGCAATGGTTATGTCTCTGTGTGATAGGTGATGTTATTTCACATGATGTGTTTAATAACGTTTAATGTTTTATACTGTTTTATTAATGGCACTGAATTGTTGCCAACACTGTGAACCACCCTGAGTCCACTTCGGGGTTGAGAAGGGCGGTATAGAAATATCACAAATTATTTTAAAATAATTGGATAGAAGTTGTGTTGCAATTTCCATACAATTCAGCACAGGATAGTGATACAATTTTTAGAAAAAGTGTATCAAATACCATGAAGAAAGTAATTGCATTCAATATACACTAATTAAAGGTTTCATTTAAACAAAGCTTTTTTTCAGGGTTTAATAAGAATTGTTAACTTCTGAGTTTTTCCATTCACCATTAGAGGAGGTTATAGGTTATTTTTTAAATGGCCACCCATTTCTTAGTATAGTGAATGCTTAGGTCAATCTAGTTCTATTTGATTGATTTTTTAATCTTTAAATTACATAATATTACAGTCGACCCTCTCTGTCCATAGCTTCTGCATCCATGGATTCAATCAACCACAGCAAAAAAAAAAAATAGTGTGGGGGGGGGGGGGGGGCTAAAAGCAAACCTTGATTTTTATGTGTGCCAAGCACTACACTGATATAGAGCCATACCCTGCGCACAAAGTCCTAGAACCAAGCCTCAGTGGTACCAAGAACATACTGTGTTAACCTCATTCATACCCCAACTTTTCCTCAAAACTATGACTTATGGTGACTAGAAAACACTACATTTAGAAGCCAGCTTCTATGATATTTTCCATTCCTAATTTCAACTTTTCCAGTACTTTTTGTAAATTGTGATGTGCACATGCACTAAAGAAGTTTTAAAACACTACTTTTATATAATGTGAAATGTTTTATTGAAACCTTCCTATTATATAGGTGGTACAAAATAATATCTTCAGTTTATATTTTATTTTTAGGTAAAACCACAATTCCAGGAAATTTTGAGGCTTTCTGAAGAGAATATAGGTGAGTTTTTGGTTATTTTCTTTTTATTATAGGCTTAAACAAATGTCAAGCACAGTAGAAATTGTCTTCAAGTTTATTACTTCTGTAATGGTGGCATAATGGGTTAAACCCTTGTGCCAGCAGGACTGCTGACTAAAAGGTTTGCGGTTCAAATCCAGGGAGCAGGGTGAGCTCCCATCTATCAGCTCCAGCTTCTCATGAGGTGGGGGGACATGAGAGAAGCCTCCCACAGGATGGTAAAACATCCAGGCTCCCCTGGGCAACATGCCTTGCAGACTGCCAATTCTCTCACACCAGAAGTGACTTGCAGTTTCTCAAATCTCCCCTGACACGAAAAAAAACAAAAACAAACTTCTGTAGATGGATGGGAATATGGGCACAGTTTAAATATGCTTTAAAATTTCATATGTTAATCTTAGTATTAGACTTACCTAAAAAATAGCAAGTGCATATGCATTTTATGATGTTTCATGGAATAGCTGATTAAATCAGAAGGTGTGTATGTGTACAACCCAGACTTGTTTATTTTGTATCAACAAAAATATAGTATCCACATTTTATTAATAATAGAAATAGGACAAAAAAGAAGGTAGCCTTATTTTTCGTTACAATATTATTGGATTTGGCTAATGTAAACTTAATTCTTGGACAAGCATGTTAAGAACAGCTTTTTATTGACCAATTGTTTATGTTTTCATTTCAGATGCTACAGCAGGAAACGGAGTGCTAACAAAAGCCACAGTTCCTATCTATGCAACAGGTGTACTTACATGTTATATCCAGGTTAGCTTCCCCCCCCCCTCTTTTTTTACCTACTTTTGACTATTTTAGTTTTTAAGGAAAAATGAAAACAGCAAAATTGCTGTTTCACTTAGACTGCATTTGATGATGAATTCTTGCATAACAATTGCAGTGAAAATTTAGCATTTGCAGCCATCAGGCTTATGGCAGAGATTGTGCAAGCATGTTACTTCATTCATAGCCTTAATGTATAGTCTGCAATATTATTTGTGTATAATGAGCAAATAAATTGTATTAAATAGTAGCATGACTGTGTGTGTATGT